CAACTGCAGAGCCATTTTGTATTGTGGTGATAGCTTGTCCGAGGAACCAAAACTCGGTAATGTGTAAATTACTGTACTTCACAAGCAGCAATATCTATTAATCTATACTTGCTAAAGAGTGTGTGCTCAAGGCTTAATGTGGTGACGTAGCTTGTAATTGTATACTACAGGAAAGGCCTTCAACATTTTTTCAGTCAAGGTTAGGTTACCATGAAGAAATAAGTATTTTGGCACAAGCTTTTTATGTTTCTTCGTGGTAAATATTTATATCAGGAGTTTTCTGTTAGCAACTTACAATAATTAGCCATACGCATTTTTTTTCTCAATACCTCCCCAAAAATCCCATCCCTTTCAATGACCATAAGGGGACCCTCCTTCTCTGCGGCGACAAAAGCATATTAGACTTCGTTGCGGTATAACGTTGGTCTTGGTCGGTTCTGAGTTTTTTAAAGGTTCTAGACGAGTTAAAAATATAATGCCTTTATTTATTTAACTATTGTTCTTGTATTTCTTATTGCAAAACTATTAAGATATTAAAAGTATTGTTAGGATCATTTACAATATATATATATCTCATTCATTATTATTTTTTAGTCATTTATCTTATGAATCATTTATAATATTATTTCATGTTATTAGATTATAAATGTCTAATGAATTATATTGATTAGATTATTTAGTATGAATATGCTAATTTTTATTATTAATATATTCAATTTTATCATGATAATCTTTATTTGTACTATTTTTAACTATATGTTAATTATATAATTTTTCATTCTCAAAAGTTTTAGTTTTGGGATCTAAATTATTTAGATTTGCGAAGAAAAAAAATTATAGGATGTTTAACAAAAAAAAAATTTATCAAAGTACTATTTTGAGAATCATTATTAATTTTAATTTTTTTATTTATTTTTCATTTTATATGATTAGAATTTAGAAGGTTGCTTTTTGTAACATGTTCAAATTCAAATAATTAGATAAGTATAGATAAAAAAATTATATGACAATCTATGATTTATATTATGCATTTTAATGAATAAATGATAATGCGATGAAATAATAGTATTTTATTGCTTATTTGTAAACCTTCACTTTCAATTTATTGTAATAGAAGAAAAAAATTAATAATGGTGTCATGTTATCAAGAAGAAAAAAATTAATAATGGTGTCATGTTATCAAGAAATTTATAGTGACTAATAAATATACATTTTTAATTTGATTTTAAGATTTTAATAGAATATAAGGGATTATAGAATTGAACTGAAATTTGAATTAGATGTGTAGAACGGAATTACTAATTTTTGGTTTCCAGTTTGAGTATTGGTGTTTTTTCCCACATTTTTGTCCTTAATTTACCTCTCCTCAATTATAGGGGATAAACTTTTAACCACTAACATTCACTATGATCATCTTTCACAATTGAAAACGTGTATTCCAGAATACCATAAACTACAATAAACAAACCCTATCCCCCACAAACATGCTTCCTTCCTTTGTGCCGAAATAGAATTGTTGAGAACCACCATCCTCTTGAACATCATGATTATAGATAACATTAATTCATGATTCTATAACTTTGGTTGAGTAGCACTAATTCTGAGAAATATATATATATATATATATATAAAGAAGAAAGAGAGAAATTTTAAGATGGTCCTTATTTATTAACAATAAAATACACATAGAATAGGATAAATTAAAAGAAATAAATTAATAATATATTATATTATGTATCACATTTTCGTCTTTATAATTAATATCTTCAATTTATTTTCTCAAAATTACAATTAAGTTTCATTGAGAAATAGAAATATTACATATTAATTGATTAATTTATTTTTTATAGTATTTTTATATAATTTAATTGTGTAATTTTTTAAAATTATTTTATTAATTAAAATAAAATAAATTGGTGCACTTTTAAAAATAGGATCCTGTATGATCGCTCACCTCAACCGTGTTTATCTAGCACCGTTGTTGATAGTCCAATTCTGCCATATGGTTCTCAAAACTTGTATTGACATTCGCACTTGAAAAAATTCCTTGTCCAAACTTGTATCATGTGAGTGAAACTGTGATATTTACATCGTTTTTGGTAGAGTACATGAGTTTATACTACTATTAAGTTTTTAACATTTTAATATTTACATCTGAATTTATTATTCATATATTAGTTAATGTATATGTTTCATTTATTTTTTGGACAAATAATAATTTTTGAGTTCTATAACTTGATATATAAAATATCAACGTCAATGAATTTAATTTAGTTCCCTTTTACGTTTAATTGTATTTATTTTAAATAACTTTATAAGGTGAATAACTTGACGATTAAATAGAAAAATAAAACTAGCCGTGTAAAATAATTTTACAATATTATCTAATTACAAGTTATTTTTTATAGTTAGCTTGTAAACTTTTACAATAATTATTTATGATTCATACCAATAATGTTTTTCCATTGGTCAATAATGCAAGAACATTAAATCTATTAAAATATAGAGTGAAGATATTAGACATTAAAATAAGTAAAAAAAAATTAAATATAATACATAAGTCAAATATAAAATGATACAATAGAAATAAAATATATATAAAAAAATGATGATCATTTGTGAATCTTTCTCTTTATTTGTAATCTTATTCCAATATTATCTAATGTGACTCAACGTGTTTTGTATAAAATTTCATGCGTCAATTCTATTAATAAGCATTCTCTGATTAAGTATAATCAACAATAACTCAAAAATTCTCTTAATTTGTTCCTACAAAAAGTAATTTGACATAATCAAGTACCATGAAAGCTTGTTATTCAATACATAATAAACACAAACATATGCTTACCAGAAAAACATGGAAGTTACTTGAACTAAACACTACTTGACTACCTATGTTTAACAGTTAGTCTTAAAGAGCTTCTTGAGGGATATCCTTCTCACGTGGGTATGATGTATGGATGGGAAATGCGATGAAACTAAGGAATGTATTCATCCATTTGGTGAGTTGGATTAGTTACACATGCTCCTTTAGTGATATTGTCTATAATGTGATAAATATACTAAAGAAATCTCTCATCATATTCCTTGATGATGGACACAAGTAATGATGGCACATGGTGAGCAAGGATTCCCCTATACATGGGCCATAGCACCATTTCCAATTGAACCTAATATAATGAAGCCTAAGAAGTTTGAGATGTCCTAGAAAATTCACTCCTCTTTATGGACTCCACAAGGCATTTAGATGACTTCCTTTGGGTGCAACACATCTAGTGCAATAGAAATATAGAATGGTGAACATGTTATTAGAGCCCTCACAACCTCCCATTAATAGGCACAGAAAGACTGCTCAATATATTCATCAACTAATTGACAAATAGTCAATAGTCAAAAAATGACCAAAGATTTAAGCTTGTGATCATTAAGATGATTAATTGTTGTAAATCCAGAAAATGTGAAAGTCAAATAAAATAATTAGTATCTGTATGAGAGTCATATATCCTCCAAACTACTTTATATGATGCATGTTGGTTGTACTAAACTAATTGAATAAATATGCCAAAGAAAAATCACCCCATGCATACTTGAGGCATCAATCCAAGTCGCAAAAAAACTCCAACAATGACATATCAACTAATGTGACACTCTTGTCAACAATGATGATGCAACCTACCAAATGTATAAAAAAAAACTTGTTTACTAAGATGTTTCTAGATTAAATGTGGGCATGATATAACTAGTTGATTTACCTGTTTTGATTTACTAAATTAGTGATTGACCTTGTCATTTTTTTAAACTAGACTTGAGGCCCAATAATATTAACCAAAGTGAGAAATACTAGTAACATTTTCTTCAATATTTTCCTTTTTTGCACAATCTTTACTATTTGTTAAAATTTAATAAAAAAAACACAAATTTTAATGAATTTTAATATTAAATATAAAAAAATAGATTATTCTTTTGGGAGAAGCAAAACCCACTCTAATAATATTTACCCCTAAAAATGAATTGGTCTCCAACTATTAAGAGATATATCCATACTTCTCAAGAAAAAGAAAAGGAAAAAAAAAAAAAAGACAGAAGAAAAAGACTTGTTAAATAAAATACAAGATTGACTAAATTTTGTTGTTTTCAAGGTCAATAGTAGAGTAAACATTAGAAAGA